AGGAAAATGGACGCCTAATGCAGAAGCTCCTCGTCACGCCCGCAATAAAACAACCAGAACAGCGCGTACCGCTCGACCACGCACAAACCATGGGTCGCACACGGAAGCCCACAGACCCCAGCAGCACCCCGAGGTCGTCAGGCAGGGAGGGGGAGCAATCCATCCGCTCCTACCTTCAAGCCACGGCCCGCCCGCGGTCACCGCAACGGGAGATGGAGGAGGTGAGCCAGGGCATGGAGTCCTTCCTCTCCACACCGGCCAGACTGTCACCCACACCCTCATTCAGCTCTGAGCCACAATTAACGCAGGAGGGTGAGTGGAGGGCCATACTGCCAAACCTACTAACTAAAGCTGACTTTGAGGCCCTGTCAGACCGCCTGGGCAGGGTGGTGAGGGAGGAGGTGGCCCAGCTACGCGCAGACCTGGCCAATGTGGAGGCCCGCATGTCAGTAGCAGAGTCAGAGACCAGAGCGCTCTGCACAGACCTGGAACACACCAACTCCACAGTCACCAGCCAGGAAGCAGACCTAGCCAGTCTCACCACGTGGGTAGACGACCTGGACAACCGCGGCCACAGACTGAACCTGCGTGTCCGCGGGGTGAGGGAGGGTGACCCAGCGGAACTCATACCCGACACCCTAAAGAGGCTGTTCGCTCAGATACTGGGGGGCCAGCAAATACCCAGACTTGGCATAGTAAGGGCACACAGGGCACAGGGACCAATGCCGCCACCAGAAGAACAACCAAGAGATATCATATGCTGCCTAGAAAATTACCAATTGAAAGAAGACATCCTGTGCACGGCCCGACGCATGGGAACCATACGCTTCGAGAATCAAACCATATCGATTTATCAAGACCTATCTAGATACACCCTACAAGCCAGAAGAGCGCTACGCCCAGTAACATCCGCCCTGCAATAGGCAGGAATACCATACCGCTGGGGTTACCCATTCTCACTCTCATCTAGACACGGCCAGGTTCAACATACGGTGAAGAAACCAAGCGACCTCCCAGGTTTCCTTCGAGCCATGGGCATCCCACCGATCCAAGTACCAGACTGGCTGGCAAGCTCCTTTCTCCAACCACCGCCCGGACCGCAACAGCCGCACAGACCAGACCAGGGCCCCCCAAGACTCCAGCAACAGTGACGCAGAGACTGGAACCCAGGCCCGGCACGACAGGAGCAGGAGAACTAACAGAGCACCACGCTGAGAGGAGGGGCTGACGGTCCGGAGACCAATTCGAAACAGGACACAAAGGGCAAACTGTGAGTACTATTTGGGGTGACACAAGAAACTATAACAGCCACACTGGCACACGATGGGGAGGGGGATGGTGGCATGGGGGAACAGGAGCGAAGCAAACACTGAAGGGACTGTCAACGGCAAGAGCTCCATGTGGAGGAAACGCCTTGCCCGCTGTCAGAGCCATGGGGAGGACAAAACAGGATGTTTTGGGTGGGATACGGGATCCAGCTCCTACACCAGCATGACACAACCCGGACGGGCGCACGGACAACGCAACTTGGCGGTGTCACGACATGGGACACAATACTGGCCGGAAGACGCCAACAAAGACACAACACAACGAACGGAGGGAGGGAGGGTCAGAAGGGGAAATGTCAACTGAAAGGGGGGAAGAAGGGGAGGAGGTAGGGAAGGGGGAACACACGCACACAGGGGAAAGGGGGGGAAGGAAGGGGGGGAGGGGGGTTAGGAAACAAAACAAAAAAAAAACAACAAAAAAAACAAACACCCAAACACGGTACCGCAACTCATGTATATACGCGGGGGGAGGGGAGGGAAAGAGGGAGACACAGCACACAAGCAAGGAAACAGAGGGGGGGGACACGAACGAGAAAGAGACGAGTGGGCCAAGCCAATAGGAGCTAGGGGTAGACAGAAGGGGGCCCGCGATAATAACCTATAGGCATAATCCATAGGCACAACACCCGACAGAATCACTACCCAAGCAAACCACAGATACACGCTAAGCATAGACACCAAAGGAACCATTGGCAGAGGGGCCAAAGTGGAAAGCACCCGAGATGAACCAACAGGAACTCAACACGAGACCGCCCTAAGGAAACCCCACCCATCACACTAGCGCACGGACGACATGCCACATACGACGCGCACCACACACACGTTATCGTCAGGCAGCCCACAGACACAACAGGTGACCTAGACACCAAACAGAAGCCAGAGATGGAGTAGGAAATAGAACAACTAGTCACGCTGGAACCACGGGAAATAGGAGAATACAGGGACTGAAACCCAGACACGCCGGACCCTCACCCACATCACGCCCATATAATTGGTGTGGCACAGGCAGGAAGGTAGCGACACCAGTCAAGTTACCCCACTAGAATGACACCACTCACAGGCCCGGATAATAGGGAGGCCCCGACCCCACAAGACCCGGAACTGCAACGAACACACGCCTAGATAGGAACACACGAAGCGAGATAACATGTGAGACAAAAACATACACAAGCTAGGAAGCACCACCGCGGCAGACAGTAACACGCATGCTACCTAAAAGATGACCCATACAAGCACAATACCGAAGAGAGGGAGCGGATGCTCCAATATCATAGCCACTAAGGAGACATGCGACCACACCCTACATACCGAACCAGGTAACACACTCCTCACCTACACAGCACGGACCGACGTCACAAGGCAGACCGGACACACCGGGGCATAAAGCCCGGCACCCCAATAGGCATAGGACACAAATATCCCCACTCCAAAGGAGACGTAATACACCCGGCACCGACGTAGGCACACCACTTGGTGAGACCTATAGGCCGAACAACAGGGACACCTGTCCATTACCCCACACGCCCTCAAAACAACCAACAGCAAGTGCCCACTAAGCCGGAGCCGGAGCCCAAACGACAATAAGACAGCACTGAACCGCACACCTACACACACATCTGCACCCAGGTCCCGCCCGCTCCGCCCCCGTTGCCCCTCCGGGCCGCTGCGAGGATGCAGGCACAAGAACCCAACGGCTTCGCAAGAGAGGACATATGCGTAGTTTCCTACAATGTGCGAGGCCTAAATGTTAGGGAGAAACGAACAAGATTGCTAAGGGACCTAAAACACTACAAAGCAACAATAGCGTTCATCCAAGAAACGCACTTCCAGGAGGGCAGAGCACCGGCTCTAAAAGACCGCAACTACCCAACGGGATACTTCAGCCACAACCAAGATAGACGCACACTGGGAGTCTGCATCCTCTTCTCACGACGAGTCCCTTACGAGGAGCAAGCCACCGTTCGATGCAAGCATGGCAGATATATTTTTACAAAAGGCAAAATAATGGACCAAACATACACGTTCGCCAACATATACGCCCCGAATACGAAACAACACCACTTTCTCCGAAGAACACTAACCACGCTGATGAAATTCACGGAAGGCGCCCTGATCATAGGAGGAGACCTCAACCTGGCGTTACACCCGGACCAGGACGCCACCTCGGCACGCGGACACATATCGATCAACAGGCACGCCAACACATTCCGCCTCTTCCACCTCCACCAGCTGGCAGACTGCTGGCGAGCACTGCACCCAACTGCACGAGATTATACTTTTTATTCTACGACACACTCGACATATACAAGACTCGATTATTTCCTAGTACCTCACCGCGACCTAGCCCTGCTCACCGCGGCAGAAATCCTGCCAATGACTTGGTCAGACCACAGCCCAATCCGCATACGGATTAAGTCTCCACTATACAAACCCAGACAATTGTCGTGGCGACTGAACGAATCGATTCTTTCAGACGTCTCGGTCGTAGACCAAATCAACCACCACATACAGGATTACTTCACAGACAACGAGACAGACGACGTCACCCCACTGACAAGCTGGGAAGCACACAAAACAGTCATCAGAGGCAGATTTATCGCGATATGCGCGACCCGCAAAAAGAAGGCGACACAGACGATACAAGTACTCATTAAGGAAATCGGGGAACTGGAGGCTAGACACAAACGCACCATGGACATGACGGTATACGAGGAACTCACGACTAAACGGAACCAACGCACCGCACAATCCAACACTCATACCAACACTACAAACATATGATCCATGAACACTACCGGCGAACCTCCTGAAGCAACGCCGCAACCAACTATACATTCCGAAGATTAAAGACGCACACCAACAACTCAGACACCTGCCGGAACAGATCTTGACAGCATTCCACGATTACTACCAGGATCTATATCGCCTCCGTGAAACAGATCAAGAACTTCAGAGGCCTCAAAGAGCTGAGGACATATGCAGATACCTAGACACGGCAAATATACCATGAATAGAGGAGGTGGACCAGGAAGCCTTAGAGACCCCCATAACACCCGAGGAATTGGCATACGCCATCAAAAAAGCGAAAACGGGCAGGGCTCCGGGCCCAGACGGCCTACCCCTGCAATACTATAAAAGCTTCGCAACGGACCTATTACCGAAACTACTGAAAGCCCTGAACTCAATCCAAGACGGAGCCACACCAACAGCCCAATTCACCTCGGCGAACATCACCCTTCTCCCAAAGGAAGACAAAGACAAGACGCTGTGTCCAAGCTATCGCCCGATATCCGTACTGAATACGGACCTCAAACTTCTGGCAAGCATACTGGCAGCACGCCTGGCACCACTCCTGCCGACCATAATCCATTCAGATCAAACAGGTTTTATCCCAGGGAGGGAGGTGAAGGACAACACAATCAGAGCCTTAAACCTCATAGCACATGCAAGAGGGCAGAAGACCCCAGCCCTGCTCCTGCCCACAGACGCAGAGAAGGCGTTCGACAGGGTGGACTGGGATCTGATGTTTGAAACACTCTGCCACCTGGGCATAGTCCCACACTACATGACCTGGGTACAGGCGCTCTACACGGACCCAACGGTCCGAATCCGGATCAACGGGGCACTAACAGACCCATTCCAGATCCACAACGGAACCAGACAGGGCTGCCCGCTTTCACCCATACTCTTTGCGCTGACGCTGGAGCCCTTCCTGAGCAGGATCCGACAGAACACGGACGTCCGAGGGCTGACAGTCGGAAACACGCACCACAAAACCCTGGCATATGCAGACGATATGCTGTTCGTGGTTACTGACCCGGAAAAATCGCTACAAGCGATACAGACGGAATTCGACATATACGGCCGCATCTCGAACCTCCGAATCAACTACTCAAAATCGGAAATACTGAACATAAATATCAGCAACACACTCAAGCAAACAATTCAGAGGCAACAACCTTACTGCTGGTGCGACCGCCGAACGAAATACTTAGGGGTCTGGCTCACACCAGACGTGGGGGATCTCTACACCCATAACTACCTCCCGATACTGCGCAAGGCAAAGGAGGAACTACGTAGATGGGGTTCTTACTACATGTCTTGGCTGGGCAGAGTGAACGCGGTGAAAATTACGCTATTACCGAAGCTACTTTTCATATTCCAAACGATACCGATAAGAGCCCCGCAAACATTCATTGCGACACTTAAGACAGAAGTTCGCACTTTTATCTGGAAGGGCAAATCCCCACGCATAGCACATACCCAACTGATCCTGCCCAAGCTCAAGGGGGGCCTGGCACTTCCCGACTTTGAAAAGTACTACCACGCGGCACACATCGCCCGAGTAGTCTGCTGGTCGGTAGCCAGCGGCGCAAAACCATGGACACAACTAGAAGCGGACACAACCGGATGCGACCTCAGAACCCTACCATGGATCCCCAAAACAACATACGGGAGCAAACATATCACCAACCCGTTTGTGGCGGCAACCATGCAAATATGGCACGGACAAGGCACAAAACACTACCTGACAACGGACCCAAGCCCGCTCCTGCCCCTAAAGGGAAACCCAGATTTCCCGGCAGGGGAATATG